TTTTTCAGCATCATGACAAAACAAAAAAGGAATTTCTAAGATAAAACTGGAACTCCTGCTTTAGCTCTACCTCAGCTAGGCTGGAATGTTTCTGATACCCTTATTCAGGTTTTTATCTCTCCCTGCTTCCTTGGTGACCTCACTGATTCTACTTCTGGCTTATGTCAAGACATCCTCCCCTCACCCTTTCAATCCCCATTCCCAGTAGTGTTTGCCGCTATGGCCAAATTGCTGTCAGGGTCCACACAAGCCAGATATAATATGGGTACATGAGCAGAGATACTTTTTTCTGGCTGATTCTCCCCATTGAGAATTAAACATCTGAGTGGAAGGAAAGCGCTCTCAAGTCACAGAGGAAAGGGGCCAGGGTAAGCGTTTCAGAGAAAGAGACGAAAGTATGCGAGCTATGCACTGGGAGGAAGGGATGTTCGCTTTTTTACCCCTTGTGGAATTTAGATTTAAAAAGCCCCGTGGCATTTTTGTGCGCCAGCGATTTGACTTATTTCAAGAATAGGTACCTTCTTTTGTGTGTGTGTGTGTGTCTGTGTGCAGATTCCTCTGTTTTATAATAGAAAACTTAAGAAGCAGCCATTCAACTTAAAGTTCGCTCAAACCAAAAGATGGTCCTTTTCTGTGTTATAACAATAGTAATATTTTTGAGAAATGAATAGATAAAAAAGCAACAACTATAAGTGTGTTGTGTTTCTTCGGGGCTTTCAGACCCAAGCTGTGTTTGTGTGGCCGTGTAAAGCAGAACCAATTTGGGGAGATGGTTTGTTTTTGTGTTTTGTTCTGAGACAAGAGGCTGACACGCAAACACACACACACACACAGTCACTGCCCATCTTCTGGCTCTGCTAGTTAGGCCTTGCTTAGCCCACGTCGCTATGGCGACAAGGCCCTACTCTCCAATGAGAAAGAGGCCGCTGCCACTGTGTGAAGTGGGGCAGAAACAATTTCTTAAATGTTCAAGAACCAAACTGGAACTTTAATCCTCTTAGCTGGGCCCCAGCTAACAAAGCTCATGCATGAGCACGGCAACTTAGCAGCATGCTACGCTAACTTAGCCGGGCCCACGGGGTTTTGTTTGCTGTGTGCAGCACTAATGTGTCCTGTCCAACGGAGTTTTGTTTCTGAGGGCTAATCTGGGACTGTATTTAAAGGAAGCGTGATGTACAGTACATGTTCTCGAAGCTCTGAAAGTCGCGCAGTCCAACTTCCTAATGCAAATTTCACAAGTTCACAAGGACAGCTTTAGCCTGGCAGCGCCATATGCCAAATGGAGTGTTTATAGAATTATTGCCGTGCATTACGTCCGTCCTTTTGAATCCAATTCGGAAAGTCATAAACATTACACCCTTTGGCTAATGAAATCGGGAAAACACTGTTTTATGTAGTTGTCGCCTTCATGTAATTCATCTGTCACACAAGTAAAGTCATTGCAGTAATTAAGAGCCGAGCATATTAAAGCATCCAGATGGCCAGCGATGCTTCTCCCTGGCCCCGATAAAAATATTGTATTTGGAGCCTCATCACTGTTGGAACATCAGCTAAGAGCTATTATCTCCTGAAGGATTAGAGTGCCATAGATCCAGCTAATCATGGAGGGATAACAAACTGTCTGCCATCTCGGTGTTTTTTTTAGACACTCAGATCCAGAGTTTTGGTGTCTAAAATTTAATTTGCAAGATCTTTTATGTTCAGAGTACAAATGAGGCATAATGGGCTTTTTTTTGTTTTGTCCCTTAAAACTTTTAATTGTGTTTGGTTGGATTAAAGCCAGCAACTGCTGCTGTGTACAGGATCGCTTTGGAGATTTTCTGAGCTGTTATGCTCCATTCAAACTGAAAGCCCAGCAG